AAATGAACCTGTCTCCCCACTTAAACTTCTGGACAGCACAGTACCATAGGGAGATTCCACACAACCGTGCTACCTTAGCTAGACTTACAGATGGTTGAGCCCCATTGCTGAAGTTATAGATTCCATCTTCTGTCAATTCCTAGGGCAATTCCTAGGACTGTTTCCTCCCTCTTCCCTACATCATTCTCAGGACCCAACTTTAAGGGATACTAAGCCCAGGTCACCACATAGAACTTCTAACAGACAGAATTGGCAAAATGTAAATTGATCCTGTTACATTCTCTAGTTAACTTCATTTCCATTTTTTAAAAAAGGTTGAATAAATATTTAAAGAATATCTGTTTGAAAGGGCACCTAATTATTAGTGTGCCTATGGTTCTCACTTGATTTATCTCCTTCATACTAATTTAAATTTAACCTTTGCCACCGTCAGCAATTCTTCCACTCATTTTTTACTAACTCCCTGGCACATTCTCTAAATTATTCTCTCTCTTTCAAAGCCCAAATCTCTTTCTCTCAGGCTTTTTACATTTTTTCCTAATGTAACAGGGAAATTTGAAGGTAACTGACTTGAGCTAACTCAGCATCCCATGCTCCCCTTGAAACTTCCTCCAGTGTCAGAGAGAAAGCATGTCTCTCATTTTCAATGCCAGCTCCACTGCTCAAGCTACTGATCTCAGCCTTTTAACTTGTAGGGTAATTTCTAGGATCCCATCCCTGTTCTCTCTGGCATCTTAAGGCTTTTGTTCACAAGTAGCCAATTTTACCTTCAATGTACGTAGATTTACCCTGCAAAAACTTTATTTTGCGTCTTCTGTTCCTGTCCATTATCTTTCCTTCCTTTATCTGTGTCACATTCCTCATGATATTACCATAGGGGCCCCTATTCCTAATAGCAATTTCTTCAGTTATTCTTTGCAGTTTTTTTCTTTTTTCCTGGAGTGGGTAGCTATGAGATCCCTTGCAGTTTGATTTGTAACAACCTAGTCAGTGAAAAATGCTCAGTGCAAGTGTGCCAGGTAACTTTCTTCTAATACTATGCAGCAGCATTTCTTCACTTCATTTATCACATTTTGCTTAATTTAATACAATTTATAGGTTCATATTGTCTATGCAACACTAGCATTCCATCTTTCATCTATGAAAATGTGAATCCATTAATATTGTATTTGGATGTTTACTCTTCTTTTTTACCTTCTCAAAACTGTATATCCCCAGGCCTTTCATTCTCACCACCTCTGGTTCTCAGGTTAATCAATCAACAGTTTTTCTAATCATTCTCCAAATTTTTATTGAATCCAGCATCCATTTACTTATCTTCAGATTCTTTCCCATAGTCATTCCATCTCTATGCCTTGCTCCTGCAGCGTAGTCCATGCTCTAAATCCAATGTACCCTCCAAGGTCAGCTAACCTCCTAATTTGTCCACTAGGCTTTTGCCAAGCATTGCAGCATGTGAAAACCTTTGTCTAAATCCACACTAGACTTGTGATCTGCTTGACAAAATGGTACCTCCCAATCATCTACAGTTACCTCAAATATGTAGGCCTTGTTTTATCAACTATGAACATGCGTTTTTATTCCCTGATAGCCTACAGCAGTGGTCGGCAAACTGCGGCTCATGAGCCACATTTGGCTCTTTGGCCCCTTGAGTGTGGCTCTTCCACAAAATACCGACTTCTGCGCATGGGCCAAGAAGTTTCAATCGCACTGTACATGTGCGCCCACACGTGGTATTTTGTGGAAGAGCCACACTCAAGGGGCCAAAGAGCCACATGTGGCTCGCGAGCCGCAGTTTGCCAACCACTGGCCTACAGCGTGCTGCAAATACAGAAGTTGCTTAGTGAACTTTTTTAGTGACTTAATACTACTAAAAGAAGTAATAATAGCAATATTATGGCATTGATAACTCCAGTTTGAGAGAAACTAGGATTTTTAATGAAGTCTATAGGCAGTATGACATAGTGGTGAAGAGTACAAGCCCAGACTGGCTGGGTTCAAATCCTGGTTTTATCACCTATTAGCTAGGTGACCTTGACAAGTTCATTAACATCTTTATGCCTTAATTCCTTTCCTGGAAATACAGGAACATAATAGTACCTACCACATGGAGTCATTATAAAGATCCAATGAGTTATTATGGATACTTCAACCAATTTCTGGTATATAGAAATTGCTCCATGAATATAATCTATTATTAAATGTTCATTACACATAGAAGGATAGTATTTCAGAGCTAAAAAAAAAAAACCCCACACCTTTGCTTTTTAAGTGAATAAGTTGAGGACTAAAGGTAAAATGATTGGCACAAATTCATATAGCTAATTGGAGACTCAGCCAGGAAACCAGCTGTCCTGACTTGCACTCGGTGTTTGCTTTTTTCCTTCCCAAGGATTCTATATCTAAACATGGAATTGAATTATAGAAGTTTAGAGTTGAAAGGGCCATTCAAGGCTCTCTAGTTCAACTTCCCCAAAAGGGATCATACTACATGAGCACTGTCACAAACCTTTCAACTTTGCCTATAGCACCATTTCACAGATGCTTAATCACCCAGATAAACAGATTCTAGTAGAACCTGCACCATGGCTCCCAAGTTAAGAAATACATGAGGGGTAGGAATAGAAGCCAAGGTCAGGTCTCCTGAGTTTAGATGACTATGACTACATGAAGTCATTTTTATTGTTCATCTCTTGAAAAATAATAGTTCTTTTGCAGGGAAAACATTGTCTGGAATACTCATTAAAAAGCTGTGATTCAGGTCATCCCACTCATACATGAAATGTTTTGCAGATAGTATGCTTCCTGGCAGAAATCTGAAATGATTTTGATGAACTCTGAACAATACTCTTTAGCAGCCAGAAAAAGACACAGGGGCCAACTACCCATACCAGGCATAATTCCTGAAGGTTTCAGCTTTCTGTGTGGTTCTCTGGAACAATATTCAACCTGTTGTGAAATCAGCAGAACTTTGATTTTAACTTCAATCTAGCAAATAAAGATTCTCAAAAGGAATTGCAGCAAAAAAAGACTGCTATTAAACAAGCACAAATAAACCTGTGAGAAGGATTCTCTCATTAGATGCAACAGCATGCTATTCTCTGTCTTAATTCAATGCTAAGAGAAGAAATTTAATTTTTCTTTAAAACAAATGCAGTTGACATGTGTAACAGCAGCAGTAAGGGAGAAGGCTGAACTGAGGAATTATGTATCCACTAGGAATGTGCATCCACTTCCACCCCCCTCTACTCCACAGACAAGACTCGGGGAAGCCACATTCTCTGTGTATGATATTTAAAATGCCTGATTGTAATATATGAATTCTGAACTTTATGGCTTGGAATTTTGACCTTTAAAACAGGGAAGTCCCATTATTTGAATCTGAAAGTTGGATTGCCTTCTGTTCACTGAAAACTGAAGAGAGTGTCTCCACTAGTCTCACTGTGGAGGCATCATTCCTGCTTTGTGCTTCCATAAAATTTTATTTATATCTCTAACTTTACTCATGATAATATGACTTGTTACACCTAGTTGTATGTCTCCTTTGTAGACTATAAACTCCTGAGGATAGAATTCGTGACTTATTTATCTCTGTATTCTCCCAGAGCCTTACAGTGTCTTGGACACAGTAGTTGCACAATAAATGTTTTGATATTTAGTTTTAATAATACATATATTAACTATCTCCCAATTACACCATATTACTAATGGATTTCCACCTTTGACATACCTTTTCCTTCCTATTTCTGAGAACTCTTGCCTTTGAAATATGACAAAAAGCTTTAGATGGATATGTTTAGATGGATATGTAAACAGTAAGGGAGTGCCTACAATTATTTGCTGAATTGTAACTTTATGAAATGTTGCAGAGGTTTGTTTCGAGCTCTCAATTGTTTCAGGGGACCCATCTATCTCAGCTGGGCAGAGGTAAGGAAGAAAACTGAGAGGAATGACTGCGAGGGTATTCCAGAAAGACTACTGTGCTTTCTAGAAAAAAAAGACATAGAACACAAGTCCTAACTCCAGGACCCCATAAGCATGTTAGGATCATGGCATTCTCAAGACCTATATTCTCTTTTTAACAGTTTTCTGAGAAATTGTTGGTTGATGTTCCAGAAACATTTAGTTCATGCCCATTAGGCTCACAGACACAACTGGCTATGTGATTTGCAGGGCCCAGTTGAAAATAAAAATGCAGGGTCCCTTTTTCAAAAATTATTAAGAATATTATGATAACAGCGGAACATTAAGGAAGTTGGGTCCTTTTAAGCACAGGGCCCTATGCGAATGCACAGATCTCACTTCTACTAGTATGAAGTCAGCCTTGTCCCATCTTCAAAGAGCTTCCTGAAGTGAAAAGCAAAAGGTCTGTATCTAGGGATAGAAGCTACAATTGAAATATGTACAAGGGGCTGCAGGAACCTAGAAGTTCCTAACTTTGTAAAATCATCCCTGGGAAAGTGACAATTAAGCTCATTTTTGAGGGAGCAATGGCAGGGAACAAACATAATTCATCCTGAAAGAAGGCAGAATTCACCTAACAAATTTCAGGAACAGGGTTCCTTTCAAGGAGGGTGGAGCAAGTTAACATGAGGATGTCATAGTTGAGCTTGAGCGTCGAAAGAGGCAGAGGCCAAATATGTGGGTGAAGGGGTTGAGCAATTATTAAGTGCCTACTGTATGCCAAATATGTTTCCCCGTCATAATGTTAAACACAACCATCTTGTGAATAAGCTGTTTTACCTATTTTACGAACAGGTTAGTTTAGGCTCAGGGTAGTAAGGTTTAAGGGTTTGGGGCACATTAGGCAGCCAATAAATATTTACAGAATGACTGATGGGTCTGATTTAAGGCCCAGGACTCCTAACGCCTAGGCCAAGCTGGTTCTAAGCGTGCTTTTTACCCACCTGCGGTCCTTGCCGTACCTCTCAGAGCCCAAAGGGAGCCCCGCCCCTCACTTTCACCTGCCGGAAATTGGGCAGCATAAGTACTTCCGGGGTAGCAGAGGTTGGCCCCGGCAAGATGGCGGCCCCCTTGGAGCTCAGTTGCTGGGGAGGGGGCTGGGGGCTCCCGTCGGTCCACAGCGAGTCCTTGGTGGTCATGGTGAGGCCGCTGCTCGGGCCAGGGGCGGGCAG